CGATTCTATACTCGGCTTAAATAACTCTTCTAATTAGTAATCTTAAGGCACTCGTTTTTCGTCGAAGTTTTCTAAAATACGACGAGTAATGTATGCAAATTTATTGACTGTTTTTCTTAGTTTTAAATATTTCCGTACAGAAAAATCGCTCTCCGAGTCCCCAGTGGCGCAATTGGTTAGCGCGCGGTACTTATACAGCAGTATCTGCGAGTAATGCCGAGGCTGTGAGTTCGAGCCTCACCTGGGGAAGCACTTCTTTTTCGATATCCTTATCTCGATTCTATACTCGGCTTAAATAACTCTTCTAATTAGTAATCTTAAGACACTTGTTTTTCGTCGAAGTTTTCTAAAATATGACGAGCAATGTATGCAAATTTATTGACTGTTTTTCATATTTTTCAATATTTCTGCACAAAAAAGACGCTCTCCGTGTCCCCAGTATCGCAATTGGTTAGCGCGCGGTACTTTTACAGCAGTATCTGCGAGTAATGCTGAGGCTGTGAGTTCGAGCATCACCTTGGGAAGCGTTTCTTTCTCGATAACCTTGACTCGATTCTGCTCTCGGCTTAAATAACTCTTTTAATTATCATTCTTAAGACACTTATTTTCGTCCAAGTTTTCTAAAATACGACGAGTAATGTATGCAAATTTATTGACTGTTTTTCGTAGTTTTCAATATTTCCGTACAGAAAAAGTAAGCGCTCTCAGGTCCCAATTGGCGCAATTGGACACCGCGCTTTTTTATACAGCAGTATCTGCAGTAATGCCGAGGCTGTGATTCAGGCCTCACCTGGGGAAGCGCTCTTTTTCAATAACCTTGACTCGATTCTACTCTCGGCTTAAATAACTCTTCTAATTATCATTCTTAGGACACTTGTTTTTCGAAAAAGTTTTCTAAAATATGACGAGCAATGTATGCAAATATATAGACTGTTTTTCATACTCTTCTATATTTCTGTACAGAAAAAGCACTCTTCGAGTCCCCAGTGGCGAAATTGGTTAGCGCGCTGTACTTATACAGCGGTATTTGCGAGTAATGCCGAGGCTGTGAGTTCGAGCCTCACCTGGGGAAGCGCTTCTTTTCCGATAACCTTTACTAGATTCTAATCTATGCTTAAATAACTCTTCTAATTAGCATTCTTAAGACACTTGTTTTTCGGAAAAGTTTTCTAAAATATGACGAGCAATGTATGCAAATTTATTGACTGTTTTTCATATTTTTCAATATTTCTGCACAAAAAAGACGCTCTCCGTGTCCCCAGTGGCGCAATTGGTTAGCGCGCGGTACTTATACAGCAGTATCTGCGAGTAATGCCGAGGCTGTGAGTTCGAGCCTCACCTGGGGAAGCGCTGCTTTTTCGATAACCTTGACTCGATTCTACTCTCGGCTTAAATAACTCTTCTAATTATCATTCTTAGGACACTTGTTTTTCGGAAAAGATTTCTAAAATATGACGAGCAATGTATGCAAATATATAGACTGTTTTTCATACTCTTCTATATTTCTGTACAGAAAAAGCACTCTTCGAGTCCCCAGTGGCGAAATTGGTTAGCGCGCTGTACTTATACAGCGGTATTTGCGAGTAATGCCGAGGCTGTGAGTTCGAGCCTCACCTGGGGAATCGCTTCTTTTCCGATAACCTTTACTAGATTCTAATCTATGCTTAAATAACTCTTCTAATTAGCATTCTTAAGACACTTGTTTTTCGGAAAAGTTTTCTAAAATATGACGAGCAATGTATGCAAATTTATTGACTGTTTTTCATATTTTTCAATATTTCTGCACAAAAAAGACGCTCTCCGTGTCCCCAGTGGCGCAATTGGTTAGCGCGAGGTACTTATACAGCAGTATCTGCGAGTAATGCCGAGGCTGTGAGTTCGAGCCTCACCTGGGGAAGCGCTTCTTTTTCGATAACCTTGACTCGATTCTACTCTCGGCTTAAATAACTCTTCTAATTATCATTCTTAGGACACTTGTTTTTCGGAAAAGTTTTCTAAAATATGACGAGCAATGTATGCAAAGTTATTGACTCTTTTTCGTAGTTTTCAATATTTCGGTACAGAAAAAGCGCTCTTCGAGTCCCCAGTGGCGCAATTGGTTAGCGCGCGGTACTTAGTAATGCCGAGGCTGGGTTCGGCCTCACCTGGGAAGCCTTCTTTCGATATAACCTTATCTCGATTCTACTCTCGGCTTAAATAACTCTTCTAATTATCAACTAATGTCACCGTAATCAAATCCTCTTTGTCCCGCATAATCTAACAAAATTTACGCAGATTATAGAGCAGCAAAATGAGAAATTGTATTTCCCTCATTTAGTACATCTTCTGCATCAGTACTAGCTGATTGTCCATTATCAAGTTTTTGAATTATTTCTAATTTTTGTTTTAGAATTAAAACGTTTCGTTTTCGTTTCACATCACTCATTTTTACCAGTAAAAAAATTCAAGCTACTGACGATAAACAAGACAAAATCTAAAGGAACACGTGCGAAAGTGAAAGAGAACGAAGAAGTTAAAGAATGACGTATCAGGCAGCAGCTTGTTCATACGAGAATGAGCTAGCAGTATGTGGATGATTCATTTCTCGGGAAATTAGGGGTTGAACCGGTAGAGATAGCACGTGGAGGAGGAAAAAAATATATATTCTTTAGCCTCCGCCGTCACGGCTCACTAGTTTCACGGAATGAATCTCTCGATCGAACATCAACATCGATTTTGCATGCATGATAAGCGTGAAAATGTTTCTCTTGAAATTTTTTGTGAGTCCGGAATGAGCACGGATAATCGGGAGTATACTGTAAATACAAAAAGTAGACTATAACAGTCTGCAAGGAAATTTTTAGTTGCTGGTGGATGCCAGAAAAGTGTTTTTTTTAATCCATGATGATATCATGCCTTCGTTCATGAAGGATCTTCATGTTACTCATGAGTCGTGCCAGGGATCTTTTGTCTTATACAATATTTTCACACCACGTCGAAAGGTTTTCAGCACTGAGCTTCATGAAATAAAAGAGTTTTGTCACTGGGCACACTGTTGCGTATTTTATTAGTTCTTAAAAATCATCTGTGTTTGATTTTATAGAATTTTATCAAGGAGAATTTTTTCCTGGCCTTGTCTTGGCACCAATTAAAGCCCAGTCCGTCGATGGGTTCAAACTATTTTTTAGCCATAAACCACACTTAAAACAATGGTAAACAACAGAAGATGGTAAGCGAAAGTGTGTTCGGAGGAGCGTCAAAGAGAAGAGGAAAAGGTTTCACAGACAAAAAGAGTAAACGTGTAGTGTTAAATATATCATGAAAAAATAGTTTTTTCTTTCCTTTTTCCAATTATAAGAAAAATTAAGCATAGTTAATTGTAGTAAAATATTGATTTTTATTTCATCGCAGTTGTGCTTTTTTAAGGTAAACTCCCCATGTTTTGCAAAAACACTGTACGTGATGGAGGGAAATGGTGGTCATTTTTGGATTCAGCACCCTAAAACACATAAAATTTATCAAAAATATCCCATGCACCTGAAACCAGCGGGAGTGACCTCCCCTAAACTTTCTCGCATACTTCTCAAACATTTGACATTTCCCTTCCCCCTGCATGGATAAAGAATTCGAACCTACTGTAACCCAGAATTCAATGACTATCAGAAGGTTTTTCATTGTAGATTATAGTGATAGTAAAATATTTAGGTGAAGAATCATATTGAAAGAGATCCGTATGTATTAAAACTTAGCAATATTTATTTTCTATCAAACTGTAGCCAATGCAAGCTTCTCTCCGCAAGCTCCGTGTGCGGAGGAGAAAACAGGAGAAGACCTCGTTCGTTAGCTTGCGCATGCGCAGAGATTGCTTCCAGTAAGCAAGTGAAA